GCAGGAATCCATGCTGGATCTTTTACTTTTATGTACGCTCCTAAATAAGCAAGAACATATAATAAATTATATGCAATCATTTTTATCAAGTAAATCATATCTTACCTAATGGTCCTCGTGGTTTTTCTTTGAAATGTCCATTGCTATATTCTTCTTCAATTCTTCTCAAAAGACGAGGTATATTTCGACCAAATACAGTTAACGCATTGTCCGAATATTTTTTTCTCATATTTAAATCTAACTTAATTTTCTCTTAAATAGGATCAAAAAATTTAACCACATATAATTCAATTTTATACCGCAATTGGAAGATATAATGAAAATCTTAACTATACATAATATAATATTACCTATACGTTTTTCACAACTATTAATTTCAATCTTTGAAGCTTGAATTTCCTTCAAAAGACGCATTTTATCGGTTTCTAAATGCATCTGATAAGTTTGTTTAGTCCGTAATAATGCTTCAGTTTCATCTAATTTTTGTTCCAAATCAGCCAATTGTTGTTTTATTTGATTTCTTTGACTTTGTTTTGCATCACCACTAAAAATAAAAATATGTATATAATAGGATCATAAAACTGATATTAAATAAATCATATTAAACCTTTCTAATCGTTGTATTTCCTTTCGAAGCGTAATAATATCATCTTCCAATCTTTTAATTTTACTTTGTGTAGAATGGCACTCTCGTACTTTAACTGAATGTTCATTTTTATGTATACTATATTCTTGTTTTATATTATTATATATTTTAGAATTATCATTAATTTCTTCTCCTACAGATTTAATTTCTTCTTCTAGTTGTCTGTAAATAAAAGATAATAACAACATATATCATACATTAATATATAAAATCGAAATTTTTAAAAGCTTTTTTAATATTTAATAATTCACTACATTCTTTTAATGAAATATACTATTGTCGCTGTTTTCCTTAATTAAGATATTGTCCTCTTTCCTAAATTGAAAAAAAAAACATTAATAAAATACAAACAATTTAAAATAAACACTAATTTTAAATATTTCATTCTAAAGTTACTAATTAAAAACATATAACGATAAATAATATCCATATAAATGATTCTTCAGATATTCCTCAATTGAAATTAATATGTATTTCATTTCACATTTTCAGAATTTGAATTTCATTTTAACAAAAATTTAAAATATTATTTATTTACTTCCATATAGTTAGGCAGAAACTAATAACAAAATAAAATCATAAAAGAAATGAAAATACCATCATGTTCAACGTTGATCAATATGCAAGATAATCTTACAAAAATTTGAATACTATGTAGCATTTATATTACTATGCTAAACATTTATCTTATTAATTATAAATTTTTTAAATACTAACTTTATTGAAATTTGAATAATCTTTACTAAAGAAAAAGCGATATTTTTAATGTATAAACCTATATAAAGATATAGTCTTTTTTAGAAACTCTCTGTATTTAATTATTAATATAGATAATAATATAAATGATTCATACTGAATTTTTTTATTTCTTTCTTCATCCTTTGATTCTGCAAATGATTCTGTGTCTTGAAGTTGTTTCAAATCATCTTCGCATTTTTTGAAAACATCTTCAACCTTTCTTAATTTTGCCTCTTCTACTATAGCCTATATGATGAAATATATATCTTGTTTATCAAGAAAGAAATGTTACTTTATACAATTTTCATATATTAAATATATCACTCACAACTGCCCAGAGTAACTCCATTTCAAGATTAACTGCTTCATCACGAAATTTATCTATTCCTTCTGCCTGTTTTATATTTAGTTTCAGTTGCTCTATCTCTTCCCTTGCTTCTAATAATGTCTACAGGAAATTTTTACATTACATATAAAATAAAATAATCTTTATAAAAGAGACAATAAAAACATACTTCGTTATACTGTTTCAATTTTTCATATTCTTGTTCACATATTAATTCAGCTTCCTTATAATTATTACCAATTACATCCAGTAATGTTGCTTTCATAAACAGTTCATATTTTTCTTCTGGCTTGGATGATACTAAAAATGTTCTTGATATGTCTTGATTTAATATTGAAATAGGATTATCTATTTGAATATTCATTGCTCTCAATATATTAGTCAGTTCATCTCGTTTTGTTGAAACTACTTCTCCTGTAAAAAATATTTTAATTTTCATATTTTTCATATTTCATTTTTAATAATTTTATATATAAACATACACAAAAATACAAAAATTAAATTAATAATGAATAAATACAAACATATACAAAAATTAAATTAATAATGAATAATAAAATATAATAGTTATATAAACCTTTCCAATTTTTCAATTTATATGATGATGTAGTTCCAATACTTCGAAAAACTGTTATTGAATCGCCATAAACATCAGATTTATAAGCCATAGGTCCTTTATTAAGTAAAGTTACCTCAATAGATGCTGTATTTTTTCCTTTTTTTATGAAATCTAAATATGAAACAATGATTTTATGGAAAACTGAATTATAAAAATGATATTTTATATAATATATTTGTACTTTTTACTGATGTCCCACGACTAGTAACATTTGCCCTAGCACCAAGACCAACTGTTAAAGCAGTTAATATTGCACTTTTACCACTTCCATTACGACCAATAATAAAATTTACATTTGGATTTAATGTTACTTCCAAGGCATCGTGACACATGAAATTTCGTATTAGAATTTTCTTTATTTTACCTGTTTTAGACTGCAAAATAAAAAAAGAAAATAGAAAGACAAGATAATTTAAACAAAAAATACATCATCAAACAAAATTCTAGTATACAATTATAGTTACCCATAACGATTTCTCTCTTTTGCAACTATGTAATAATATATTCTTAAAGTTCTTATTAAATATATTTTCTAAACTTCAAATTAAAATTAAAACTATGAAACTAATAATTTCCATATTTATAAAACAAGGTGTTATGTTTTTGTAAACTAGCTCAAACATATATAAATTATCGTGTTCTTGTAACAGTATATTCTTTACTTATTTAATAAGTTAGATATATAAAACTCGATGAGTATATACATATAAATATTTTATAACTAACTATATATCAATATATTTATGTACAACTATTTCAGTTTAATATCATACTTTATATATTAATAGTAACATGTTGAAGAATATAAAAAACTTAATTCTTTATTTGTTTTTAAAATTATATTAACTCTAACCACTTACCTCTTCTGCAAAGTTACAAACATTTTCTTTCCCTCTTGATCGTTTTGATTGATATTCCTTTAATTCTATAGATCTCCTTTTTCGTCTATTATTTATATCACTTTCCATGATTTCAATATTTTTTGTTATTTAAATATGTATAGATTGTTTATTCATTCAAATAACCGCGTAATATCAAGTTGCATAAACGCCATTTTTCTTAAAATCAGTTATCGATTTTATTGTATCATTAATGACAAACAATATTGAGTCATTACATAAATGTTGAGTTTTAATGAATCAAAATATAACAAATTCTTCCACCATACCATAACTGTTCCATTAACGTGTTTATACATTACATTACGGAGTACATGAAAACCTTTCCCGCCAGAGATGTCTACTATCCAAGTTTCATTGTCATTACGTACAACATAGATAGACTATCTACTAACTTTGCTTTACATTCTAGTTTAACCAATAGTAACATCGCATCGTAAATCAAAGCTTACTATCCACTCGCCGGATCAAATTTAAAAAAAATTTTAAGTAATACTTAATACTCAGAAAATCAAATGAATTGTATTCATTTAATTAATAGTAGAAGCTCTAACAATAAGTATTAATTAAATTATGTTTAATTTAATAATGTTCTTCAAAATTATTCACTTTAATCATAAACAAAAATATGAATTTGAAATCATAATAAAAATTTGTGTACTGGATTTCTTTCAAAATCATTTTACTTTATTATTATATTAATTTTTAATAAAAATGTCTATGGAAATATAAACAAAACTAAAGTAGGTATAATACTATAAAATAATACAATTGTATTATTCAGTCAATGAAAATAAATTTTCTTTTATGCTTTTATTGAATTTTATATTATTAAATATGTCATTACTATATATATAGTAGACATATGATTACATACAATTTCACTAAGAAACATGAATTGAATATATTCATATTTGATATGATAATAAAATTGCATTTAAACTATCCTTACTATAAATCAAATATCATTCAATGCCTCCTACACATTGCATTTTTCCCCACTACCTGTTGTACAGTGCTTTAAAATTTGAATTGTCGTCAGTTGGAGTCGGTTGATCTGGGTGCATGGTTTGTATGTACTGTTCAGAATTCAGCATCTCGTAGATGATGAACTTAAATTTAAATGTGAATATAATTTGTTAATATGTGTTGATATATATTACAATTTTTTTTTTACCAAGTGGATGCATTGTATCTTAGCTCTTATATTAGTTTCTGTACTTCATAAAAAAGAAGAAAGAACCATTTATTGTGAAATGAGTGACTCTGGAGACACTGTTAAATATAAATGGACCCCTGAAAGTACTTCGTTATTGGTGTCTGTATGGTCGGACAGACAAGTACAAAAACAACTTGAGTACGCTTCAAAACCACAACTTATCTGGGAAAGTGTTGCACGATATATGAAAAAAAAAGGGTACAATGTTTCGGGTAAACAATGTCGATCTCGGATGAAACAGGTTTTAGTATGTTACCGTGAAGCGAAAAGAGCTGGTACTCGAGCTGGTGTAGAACAATATTATGAATTAATAGATAGAGTTCTTAAAAACAAACGTATTGATGAAAATATTATTGGCGTAGATACTGTAGGTAGGACACTGAAAATATAAATTAATAAATTTCCATTGTTATCATTTATTTATTTGGCTTTTTTTAGTATTAAAATTATTCATTTTAATTATTATTATCAATAAGATGATTTTTAAATAAATATTTTTTGTAAATGTATCATAATAAAAAAGAGTAATTAGAATTTTGTTTTTCTACTAGATGCAACAATAAATGTTAAATCTCCACCAAAAGAAGTAAAAACAAATAAAAATTTGCAAATGAGACATAAATTTCAAGAACCTGTACCATCACTTCAACGAACAGAAGCATTATCACCTACATGGACATTAGGACGTAAGAACTATATTCATTTACTAAAGTGTTTTAAGTATATTAAAGAAAACTTAAGATAATTTATATCTATAATAAATAAATAAATTTAATATATATTTTAGTTAATAAATCAATCAATTTAATATATATTTTATAGGTGAAAATGAATATCCTGATTCTCCTGAATCAAATGAAACTATAATAGCTCGACCATATAGAGTCTTTTCTCCTACAAGGGATGTAGCTATTAATACTGGTGAACAAATGATTCAGGTAGCTGGCAAGTCAACACAGTGCAATTCTTTTCCAATAGAAGAACCATTACATGCAAATTATAAACAAAATTTGGTACCAAGTTATAACTATGGAGAAATACCTTTTCAGAATACAGTACAAAATGTGCAAAATCAAATAATCCAAGAAAGTATGCAGCAAAATCAAAACTTACAACAGAATCATATGTGCAGTCGACAAAACATGTTAGTAAATAATTTAAATCTTCAGCAGAACCTACAAAATTTAAATCAAGATTTAACAGCACAATCTATAAATCTACCAATGCAAGTGAATTCAATAGCAATGCAAAATCAAAATGTAAAACATATAATTCAACGACAAAATCAGTTGCAACAAGTAATTAGTGCCAACAATAATCGTGCAATGCCTCAGGAACCACGAAAAGTTATATTAGAACAAACTTCAGCACATATGTATAAACAACCATACAGCAATTTATCAACTCATATGCCTACTGTAATAGATGCAAAACAAATGGGATCTTTATCACCAGATTGTTCACCAGATGTATCTCAAAATTTAAATGATGCTTTTTGTCAGTCAAAAGGTGATGAAAAAACAAACACTTTAAATGAAACTTACGACAGAACTATTCAAACAGCAAATCCATTAAGAATTCAAAATCCAGAAATTTCTGTAATTACAAACAATGCAACATATAATGATGATAGTTTGTTAGAATTTTTAATAGATTCACCAACTCCATCAGACAATGATAATAAATCAAAAGATACTGCTGTTAATACAGATAATATTCCACATGTGCCACTGCGGAAGAAAAAAGCTGAAAAATTAGAACAACTCGTAATAAGTGCAATTAATTCTCAAAATGAAGTCGTCAATAAGGTAAGGTATTAACTTTTACACACATATATGCGTATTTAGTTTAGTTAAATAATTTATTTATTCTTTTATTATTTCAGATCCTTATCGCACAAAATGATATGGTAACAAAATTTTTAGATATAGATAGAGACCGCCAAAACCGACTTGAAAATCGTTTGGATGATTTATTAAAAGTTGTTCATGCTTCTATAGTCACAAAACAAACTTCAGAAACAGATATTGAAATACCTCCACTACCACCAGAACCTACAATAACATCTTTAGTACCTCCTCCAAGACCTGGTACTGCACCTCCAAAATTAGATCTAGTTCCTCCAAAACCTTGCCGTGTACCTTGTACAGTGCCAAATTCTAACATTCAATTAGTCACTCAAAATACTGTAGCAACAAGACCAGGTGTGGTTTCACCTATACTTAGTCCAGTAAAAAAGCCTGGTACTATATGGTCAAAACTGGGACCAGTATCACAATCTCCTTTTGTAAAAGCTCAACAGCGATTAGGTTTACAGTCTGTTGTTTCTACAGAAACTCGTACTCAATCATCTGCAGAAAGACGCATCGCTAGGGAAGTAGAGAAAACTATGGATATAGAGACTTTAATATTTGAAACTAAAAGATTTTTAGATGTAGAAAAACAATTAGAGGAGAAAATAGAAAATGCCCGTCTTGAAACAGCAATAAGTCAAACTTTAAGTGCACGTAAAAGATTATTTACACAAAGAGAACCTACTGCAGCCATGGTATTAACTGCAGCATTTTTAGAAAATGAATGTCGCACAGCGGAAAAATTTATTAATCATTATCATATTTTTGATATAAATCAAAAGAATTTAAAAGGTATTGAGGACGATTTATTAGCAGGTCAAGGTGAAAGCTATGAACGTCTGCGACAACTAAATATAAAGTCTGCTTATATACCTGATGATCCTTGTGATACCTCTACACCAGCAAAAATAGGAACTATTCCTAATAATAATGAAAAAACATCTGTAACAGTCCCTAAACAGACAATTCAACAATTAGCTCAACTTGTAATGAATACGGGAAGATGGAAAGATGTTGGTGGACAAAATATACAACAGAATTTTGGACAAGCTATTCAATCAAGTATCCAAAGACCTCAAATAAATACGCAAAATATACATCCAGTTTCCTATAATGAAGTATTTACTACAGCAGAACCTAAAAGTCTATCCAAAGAAATTCACACAAAAAATGATCAAAACCATGTTCGAGATTGGATGTCAAATAAATATGATAATTTACCAAATGAAACTCAAACAACATATGTTTCATCACACAATATAGTAAATCAAAATCCTAACTTTCCGATAGGCTTTTCAAAATCAGAATTAGATACTGAGAATCTAAAACAAAGAAATTCCAATGGTGAAATATGCAGACCTACTGAATTCAATGGTAATATTATATCAGGTCGTAAACAAAGTGTACGTTTTATGGATGAAGCATTAGCTGAATTGCAACGTATGTACATCGAAACAATGTCTAAAGAACAACAAGAAATGAATGATAGTTTACCATATGTATTGAATAATGCTAATACACTTCCACTTGAAAATCAACAAATGATTGAAAAATATATTCATGATATAGTACCAAAAAAACAATTAAAAGAAAATAAAGAGAAAGATACTGATTCTGATAACGACGATGAATTTTTAGATACTACTGCTACTATGCCTACAATTGTCCCACGTCGGAGTTCTCTCACATCAACTGGTACTACTTCTACTGCGCATTCTATAAAATTCATAAAACCAGATAATTGCTTAATAAGTTAGTTACACTAACAAAGAAATATTTTTATTACATACAAAATACAAGCAAAATGTTTGTAAATATTTCTAATTATTGCTAATATCTAAAGAGAAAATAAAATATTTTCTTCATCATTTTCCAATAATATAACAAGGATAAATAACTTTTCAAATTTATCATGATTATAGATTAAGCTCATATCAACATTTAAATTATACTTTTAAGATATGCAATACAATGCATACCATATGCATATATTTTTGTGCAATATATTTCATTCTTTGATAGTTAAAAAAGGGACATAGTTAAAAAAAGAAAAATATTCTAACAATAATTAGGTTATTGAATAACTTCTTAATGAAAAGACTAAGTAGATCTTCTCCATTAAATGTTAATAACATGTGCATTACTATAATCAATTGTATGATGTTACAAATATCAAATATTTGCTTTAATACTTTTCACTTTATATATATTATACAATAATAAAAGTTGTATTCTTGATAATGATCATTCCTATTAAACAATTCTAAACAAATTAAATTGTTAAAGATTCTATTATATTTTATCATATTATACATACATTATATACAATTTGTTATGACTTATATTAGTTTATGCAGTTGAATCGCATAAGATTATTAAATTCATTTATATTTTTAACTGTTATATTAAATTTCTAGTTCTTTAAAATGTCCCGTGAATAATAATACATTATCGACAACCTTGGTTTTTTCGTCACAAAATACTTTAACGATGTTAAAAACGAAGGAATGGTTAATTCTGAACTCTGGTTCGAAATCAAGTGAAGAGCCCTCTTCTAGCAGCCCTGCAAAAATTGTAAAAAATAATAAATTTTACGGATAATAAATAAGAAAATAATGGTTTAATGACATAATGATGACAAAACTGATGCTAACAAGTAGTATCAAAATAATATTAATATAATTTGTGTTACAATATGTATAATTAATTTAAAGCAAAAAATGATGACATTCATTTTTAATTTGTAAATCTTTATTAAAAATAATATCTTCAATAACAATTTTACATAACATCATACTTTATATTTGCGTAATATTACAGTGGATTGTAATAGTGTAATTGTATACTGAACTTAAATAAATTAAAATTACAGTATATTTTCTTTATTGTACGCAAAGCTATTTCATTTGTTTAATATTGAGGTTGAATAACGTGTCCACTGAAAATTGTTGCTACATCGATTGTATTAATTTCTTTATTTTTAAACAATTTGACGATACTGAAGACAAATGGACGATCTACTTCAATTGTCGGTGGAATTAACAACGAGAGTGGTACTAAAATAGCTTCTGCAACAAAAATGTTACGTTAATAAATAACATAAAAGGTTACATAATAGAATATACACATATATATTTTTGTTATTTATCAATACACAAGAAAAAATGCATATATAAATGCAAATATAAAAATAAAACACATTTAAAGATTGCTAATGAGTCTACTGTATAATGTTATGGTATCTTGATCTTCAATTAGAATTTTACAAATACCATAAAAATGGTCGATTAATTTCCACTATTGACGTAATTAGTACTATATTTAAATAATGCCCTACTGGAACAAATTTTAAGTTGCTTTTTATAATATAATCTAAGTTGAAATGGAAAAGGAAAAAGGAAAAGAGTAACTGAAATGTTCATAGTAATCAAACATAAATAGAACAATTCGGCAAAAATATTAATACTAAACAAAAATTAATAAACGCATTTTACAAACAAAGTGAAACAATATTTTCAAAAAATTTTATGAAAATTTAGTCATTAAAGTATACTGATTTTTTGTCAAGCAATGAATTGAAATTGATCATAATTTTCTTATAAGAAGATATCAATCAAATCTATTTATAATTACGACTTTACTACGTATAATTATATCTATGTGATACTTTTAAATATGTTTAACTTTTAAAAATGAAATTTTTAGTTTAACATTTATTGTAGGCTAAAATTTACCAACAAGGAGAGTGCAAGCCCTTCGGGTCACCGATTTAATTGAAACTTTGCAGCTTTGTAGATATCGTCATGCAGTTTAAGAAAATATATCATTATAGCTGCAACTACTCAATAGTTTTTGAAATATTTGCGATTAAAGTTTTATTACTTCCTTAATTATACATTTATTTACAATATGTTTGAAGTTAAGTTGTAGCGTAATGTCAACGATCGAGAATTGCTATACTGGAGGAGCCGGGGTTCGATTCCCGTCCACAGTTTTTTTTCAATGTATTTTTTATTTTGTATTCATTTTTCGCCTATGAAAACATTGTAAATACACAATTATAAATAAAATTTCTTAATAAAAAAATTTATTTTTACGCTTTCTTATACTAGTATATATTTATTACAAAATAATAAAAATATTATGCAAGAAAAATACTTTTCAATAGCAATCTTATTTACTACAGGAAATATAAAACCTATCGCTCATGTCAGTATTATTAAATTAAACATTGTATAAGAATGTTGCCTATAATTCCAACTTTGCTGTGCAGCTATAAATGTTCATGAATTAATTACGAAAACTTGGAAATTTATTAATTTTCTACTATCGAATTGATTTCTAGTATCTAGTTCGAATAGTGCCATCTATTCGATCAGCGCCATCTATGATTTTGGACCTAAAACTCAGAAAAGTAATAGGAATATAGAATAGGAGAGGAGGTCGTCGAAGAATTTGTTACGTGACAGACAAGGACAGAGATGGGATAGAAAAGGATAGAAGGGCTCCGACGGAGAAATGTTAATAAATTACTCAATTTCCCTAATTAATTTATGAACTTTTATAATTTCAATGCAAAGCTGAAACTTTAGGCAACATTCTTATATAATTTTTGTAAAGAATTTAACGCTAATTTGTTAGTTATTAATTATTGTTTGATAGCGTTCATGATTTCGTAACGACAACAGTCACGATCTTCCCTGAAAATAATTAATACTAAACGAAACTAAAATCAAAATGTGAACAAAAGTGATATGTGAAGACGCCCCAGGATATCGTTTACATAATGCGTGCATGAAGGTCATAAATTGATTACACAGAAGATAGTAATTAATAAAAAAACCAATGGCGTCTTCGACAACAATTCAAACACTGCGTAGAATAATCATTAATCATCAATTAATTACGGACAAATTTATATCGGAAAATATATTGGAAAGTTCTTGAAGGATCTGCCTTTATGATGCAATTATAAAAGTTCATAAATTAATCCCAGATATTGACTAATTTTCCATTGCCGATTTGATTTATTAAAATATATTAGGAGCACATAACCAGAGTTAGTAAATTAACATCAGAGCCATTTATGTTCTCGTTGCGACCGAACATTCCGACCATAAATAAGATTGTCCTCTCGCTCTCGAAACAAATGTCCTTATACCACACATCAGCACTCACGCTATCACTCGATTATACGTATTTCCACTCATACTTCATCTTATCTCTCTTATGAAACCAATTCCATAGATATAATCTGCGTTCTGTATATTACATTTTATACTTTTTTATAAGCATAAAAATTGCATATCAGCTATAAAAATAACAATATAAGAAAGGTAATGATACAAGAATTATGTATACATATGTTTATGTTTCTATAATATTTTAGTTTACATTAGTATTATAAAGATTTAAATTGTCATTTTGCTGTTAAGAAATAATTTTTATATTTTACTTAAATTTGGTAAACACATTATTATCTGTATTTAATATGTTAAAAATTTATAATCATACTGTAAGTTTACCAATCCCAACTATTAGACTAATTGATTAATATGAAAGATATTAGGAAAACCACTAATATGACCCTAATTCTTATCACATTAAACCACTTTTAGTTATTTCATCAAATAGTCAAATATGACTTGCAAGATACAACAATCTTTATAATGATATTTCTTGTAGATAATTTATTAGAAATTAAAAATTAGAAAACTAGCCTACCAGTTCCAATTTTTTATTAGTTAAATATGTTTTTTTTCTTGTTATTTACTAATTTTATATATATTCAAGTTGTTTTATTTTTTTCAATTTTTTAAGTTTTAATCTTTTTTTTTTTCATTTTTTTTTAGCTTCAATATTAAATGTAGAAATACAACATAATATTAAACATAAAATGGTAATTTAATTAAGTATAAAATAATTGTGTAACATATAGATTCTGGTAAACATGTTGTGAATTTAATTATAATTTCAATGCATTTTAATGTTATAAACAATACATGAGTTACAGTATTTTTATTTATAAGAATAATATTATTACTGTTTTTAGATTTTGGGTTCATTAACATGACCACTGAATAATGACAAAATAGAATGTGTTCCACTTTTTTCATCATATACGTTTTTTATGATATAATAAACGAATGGTCGTGTGATAGCAAAATCCAATGAAATTATCATAGACATTTTCATAAAAAAGATACCTGAAACAAAATTATAGGAATAATAAAGTATTGATTACTTTGCGTACTATATTCTTTATGATGTGACATAACAAAGATACGCATTTGAAAATGAGTTTTATAAAAAAATAGTAAAATAAAAGCAATAAAATAGATATTTACAATTGATAATTGTAAATTATATTTGAAGCTTTATTGTAAAATATTAATCACAAGTAAATAGTAAATATATAAAGAAATATATAATTACATTTATTATATTATATTGCCTTAATTTGTCAGAAATAAAAATTTTGAATTTAAAATGTTTTCAGTAAATAAAGTTTGACGTTTTTCAGTTATTTTTGAAACATTAATAGTGCTACTAAAAAAACAAAACTGAAAATTATTTTTCATCTTGTAACTACCCTAGCATTAGAAATACTGAGTTAAAACTTGATAAATAAAGTAGTTTTGAAATCCATCTATTACTTTTGTCTACTAAAATATGCATTTCAGTTCATATTTCAATTCCTTTCAAGGGCAGATGCTTATTTAGTAAGATCCTTTACAACAACATAACTTTAAAGTAAATAATTAGATAAGTTAAGCCAACTCTATAGAATTAATAAAATACATGTATCAACTACTAATAATTTATGTCGATATTACTTAATTTAATCTTTATTTAATCTTGTTATCTACAAATTTAACTATATTAAATTTTTAATTCAAACTAAAATAATTTATTAATCTTAATTTTTTATATATT